ACTTAAACAAACGATTTGAATAGATTTTTAATGTTAACAAGGATATTTATTTCTAGTAAAATAAAATAAAATGTTAGAATAAAAATCTTATAGGTATAAAAGAAATATTTCAGCAAAAAAATTATTCTTAAAAATTATTATTAAAATTATTCGAAAAACTATTGACGTTTTATTTTTCAGCAGCTCTTCTTGAGCACACTTCGTTGAGTTTCGGTAACTTTTAACATAAAAGTGATCGTTATTATTTAAGTTATTTTTTTGAGTTACTTTTTACAAAAATTTTAATAACTGTACTTTTTTATTGAATCAAGCCGAATACGTTATAATATTAATCCTTTTTTTTTTAATTTATTTGCACTCACCAATTTTTAAAATGTTTCCTCGAAATTACTCTTAAATACTTTAAATATGTCTAACAGTTAATAAATATTTTTAAATCTATGGAATAATTTTAAAACCTAACAAACCCCCGTAAAATAATTATTTAAGTTTAAAATCTAAAACTAAAAGAAAGTATTTTTGTTTAATTTTATCGACAACTTTGCTATTGCTGAATAATTTTATTAAAATGTTATCTTAAAAGATTTAAACTTTTTTTAATCTGAATTTTTTCTACTTGTAAATAATGAGCATATTTAATTTTTTTTGTAATTCAAACTTTTATCTCAACTGCATGCGGTTTTTAAAATATTTTATTAAATGTTAAAATAATCATAAATAACTTCATTAAAATTCCGCTCAAAAATATCTTTAAATATACTCAAACAAAAAATTTTTTGCTCGACGCAAATAGCCTTAGCTACTCGCAAAATCGCTTTTGGACGTCGTAAAATTCACATCGCTCGGCGCTTTATCGCTATCATCTGATGAAAATCATTGCGTTTTCATAGTTTTAAAGAAATGTAGGAAACTTGTTGGCTTATTCAAACATAGTAATAAACTTTCTGCTCAGCTTGTAAATTGTGTTGAGTTAAATAATATGAAAATTGACAATCAAAAAGATAAATGTTCAATTAACAAATTAAATCAAGACGTTGCTACTTGGTGGAATTCGACCTTTTTAATGTTGCAGTCAGTTTTTAAACTTAGCGAATCGATCAAAGATGTTATTATCAAGCCAGAGAACAAAGATAATAAAGATTTGTTATTAAAAAGCTGGGAACTGGAAATCATTGGCGAGCGAATTGATTTATTAGAGCCAATACATGATTTTACAAATATTTTAAGCAGATCAAAATATGCCACTTGTTCAATTATATTACCAGCCGTTTATAAATTAACTGATTACTTTGCTAACTTCAAAAGTGAATCAAATAATTGTACAATTATGAATCTTGCCATCAAATTCAAAGATAATTTTAATAGAAGATGTGAAGATTTTCTTAAAATTAAGCAGTTGTACGCAGCTACATATTTAGATCTGCAATTTCGTAATTTTAAATTTATATCGAACAAAGCAAAAATTTCTTGTATTAAAAAAGCTCATTCTTTAGTTGTTCAATTGAGCCATAAATTGTAGCTAACACCAAGAAGCCTTTCTTGGCGCCTAGCCAAGAGTCGTCAACTAGTCAAAGAAGTCCATCAAAAAAAAAAGAAAAATATTGTTATGCGATGAAACAGTGTCATCAGAAGATTTGTTATCAGTAGAGAACAAAATCATCAATCATTTAAATATGAATATAAAAGTATTAGAAAATTCATATCCCCTTGCATTTTATAAAAATAGTTTATGCCAATTTCCCGTTTTGTCAAAGATAGCGAAGATGCTCTTTTTTATAACTGCTTTATCAGCGCCTTCTGAAGAGTTATTTTCAACTGCTGCCGAAATCATTACAGAACAGCGAAATGAACTTAAACCAGGTTTGGCCGAGCATTGTGTCTAGTTAAACCAAGACATAAAATGGTCATCTTATTTTTTTCTATTGTAATTTCTGTTTTGTTTGTTTATTCTCGATTTTAATTAATCAAATAGAATAATACCACCTAGTTTTAGTCTCTTAAAGTTATATTTATTTCATCTAAGAAATAAATTGCAGAGCAACGTTTAAATATTATAATTTAAAAAAAAATTCAAATATTTTGACTAAATTGATTTTTACTCGACTTGATTTCTACAAAATATTAGTCGATTTTAGTTGACTTTAAAAAACACTTTAATTGATTTATTTGACAGTCAAGTTATTTCAAAGTTGTAACAACACTAATATATATATATATATATATATATATATATATATATATATATATATATATATATATATATATATATATATATATATATATATATATACTACCAATTGCAGATGTTAATGTTTTAGTTAAACTTTTTAATATTAAAACAAAGTTTTTTCACATTTGATCTTCGTTAAAACTTGTAGCTTTAATTATTAGAAAAGAAATCGATTTAGTTAACAAATACTTACTGTAAAATAACATATAAGTTTACTCAGGAATACTGTATAAGTTGGCCACAGTTGCATGTCATTATAATTTCACTCAAATACATTTAAACATCAATATCACTACTTATCTTAAATATTTTAATAAAAATTTATGTTAACTATTTATCAAGTGTATGACAAACAACATAATATATCAAGTGACTGTCACCTCCCTAATACCTTTCCTAATGGAAAATTCTACATTTGCTTAAGTTGAACTTTCATGTTTTGTATGCTAACCATATTAAATCTTTTAACAGCCGTAAATATAAAATGTAGCTAAGCTTTCAAAAGAGGTATGGAAGTTAAAAGTAGCTGATTTTAATTCCATAGTTAAATAGAAAATTTTCGAATGCTGTGAAGTATGAACATTTTAGTACTCAACATACACTAAATTTAACACTTATTTATACACTGAAATGTTAATATACTATTCAATATTAAACAGTGATCTCATTAATACTGTAAATTTATGTTGTATACTTTTTTTAATTATTTTTGTTATTAATGCATTTTTTTAGAACCATAGTATAGAAAATCAATTTAATGAAAATAAAGATGGAGTTTCTCATAGTAATGTTACAGGTTCTAAAGCAGTTGAAAATGAAGATCTATTTTGTATAACACATCCTAAAACTTATAATTATGAAGGTATTAAAACTGTAGAAGCAATTCCTGTAAGTTTGTTGGAGGAATCGTCTTACAACAAAATTGATAGCAAATCAAATGAAAATTCAGAAAAAACAGAGGTAGATATATAAATATATTTTTGATACAGTTATTGATTGTAATATGTGTGTACAGGTAATTTAAATGGTAAAAATTTGTATAAATTTATTAATACAGGCTTGGACAGGAATGGCGTGCAATCGCGCTCTGTAACTGACCACGCTAATATTTTTATTTCTTTACAACTTGACCATGGCTTTTTTGATGTTTTAACAATTTGAATGCAATAAAAAAAGTGTTACGTTATAAATATCTTTTAATCGTTGATATTTTTTAAAGTTTTTTATTTTACGCAAAGGCTTTAAATAAAAGCATTAAAATTAGTTATAGTTTACATAAACGCTTGTGTAAATTAATAAAAACGTTATAAATAAGTTTTTTTTATGTAGGCATTTGTTTTTTATGATCAATATAAACGTTTGAAACTATTTTCTTATGTCTTCCTAAAACATTTTTAAACCATTGTTTTTAAAAAGAATTTTTTTAAGTTACTTTAATTTGTGAATAAGTTCAAAAGCTTTTGTGACTACTAACTTTTACACATTTTATGTGAATTACACAAGAATATAAAATAACTTTATTTACTTATATAAGCATGTATTTTGTTGATTTAATGAAAAAGTTTTAAAGCATTTTGTAATGTTCATACGATTAATTTTTATGATTAAACTTACGATTTTTAAAAATGTTTTTAAATTAAACATTTTATTTTTTGTAAATTTTTTTTTTTTTTTCTTTCAATTTCGTTAGAAATGAATGAAATTAAATCTTTTATATTTCTTAAATTCGTTACGCGAAGCGCTTATTAATAAAGTTGTAATGCTCAAATTAAAATTAAATTAAAAAGCTTGTTGGCAGTTTATTTTATTAAATTGCAGGCGCATTTTATTTATTTATTTTTTTTTATTTTTACGAATAAAAAAGTTCAAAACCTTTTTTTTAGTTAGACTCACTAATTAGAGCATGAAATTAGTAAAAATTACTATTTTAAAAAGACCACATTATTTTTTTAAACAATTTTTTTTTTGCAACTTTTTTGACAAAATAAATTTTTATACAATTTAAAAATATTATATAAAACACTTTTTAATAAATTTAATAAGATTTGTTCTTTTATTAAACCAATCATTAGTAGTAATTTGTTACTTAATTTAAAAACGTTTTGCTTAACTTTAATAACGCTTAAAAAGATAAGCTTTAATAATGTTTATTTCATACGTAGTTAAAAACATAACAAAAAGTTTTGCTTTGAGTTTTAGTTTTTATTTTCATTTTAGTGCTTATATAATTTCTTTTTCGTTATGAATTTGTTTTTCGTTTCTTTTTTTGTTAGGATTTTTTTTTTCGTTAGTTTTTTTTAAAATTTTTTTCCTAGTTTAAGTTTAACTTAGCGTTTCTACATTCAGAACATTTCTGAAATTTTTAACCCATCAAAACATATAAACATTATTAAACAATCATGGTCAAGTTGTCAAAAAATAAAATCATTTGCGTGGTCAGCAATAGCGCTCGATCGTACGCCATTCCTGTCCAAGCCTGTTAATATGATTTTTATTAATAATAAATAACATATGCATATATCTCTCATTTCTTAACATTTGATGTATGTACTGAACCTATTCAATTGACTTTCACATGTATCCCAAACAATTGGGATACAGGTGAAAACATATAAATAAAAATAAGGACAAAAAAACAGTTGTGTTTTTTGTCCTTATTTATAACTTTGAGAAAGTCTTACAAGTTAGACTTGTGTTAAAAAAAAAAAAAAAAAAAAAAAAAAAAAAAAAATCTATTCTTTAGTTTGTAAGAAATTTTATTCTATTGTATTAAGATAACACACTATCAATAGAATTAACCCAATCTTTTCATTTGATTGCCCACAGATGTAATTTTGATATATTTTGGAGAGTCAACTGCTCATCAGCAGGATGTAAATAAAAACATAAAAATGATATCAGTACCTTGTTCGCAATTAATTGGCTACAGATTTGATTTTTTATGTTTTTTTTGTTTGTTTTAAATAAAATAAATGCATTTTTTAAATTTGTAAATGTGCACTTAAAAATTTAAATTTATTTAATTAAAAATAATTTGTTTATAGCAATGTCTTTGCAAATGGCTGGAAAACTTATGAGAAAATTAAAAAGATTGAATGATTGAAAGATTGAAAACAAAAAAAAAGTGTATTTAAAAGAAAAAATGTTCTTAGTTACCACAATTTCAAGTAATAATAAAATAAGAACTTCTATCTTAAAGTTTTAAAAATATTTGATTTTTTTTTTTATGAGTTTTTTTGCAATTTAATGAATAGATTATACAGATTATATTATACAGATTTTTAATAAGATGAGAAAAGTTTAGATATTAATTTCATTTGGTTATTTCAATTTGCAGGTAAAACTTACGAGAAAATAAATAAAAAGATTTAAAGGAATAAAAAACAAAATGACTAAGTACAGTTACAAGAAAAAATGTTGTTGGTTATATCAGCGTGTAAAATAACGGCTGGTCAATGGTCAATGACTGCCCAAAATGAGTAAAATTGCTATTTTGACCTCTAAAAATGAATTCTTGGTTAAAAAAAAATTAGAGTTTTAAAAAACAAGATTTGAAAAATAATCAGATTATTATTTGAAAAAAGTAAAAAATGTATTAAATTATCATATAATCATTAAAATTTTGAAAAAGTTTATCAATTTATCATTTAAGAAATAAAATGAAAATCTGCGCGCTTAATTTTTAACTATTAACATTGGCGTGTAATTTTAATGTTAGTTACTTGCAAGTTCAAAAAAGGAATACTAATTCGTTAGTTATCAAATATTAAGTTATTTTTGTATTTATAAAGTTCAGTCATGAAGAACTATTACAAAGATATTGTAAATAATAAAAATTATTTTAAACACTATTTCAAAATTTAATTGATTTTATTAAATTTTACTATAGCATTTTATAAAATTACATAATTTTTATTAAACCTTGTTTTTTGAAACTCTGAATTTTTTCAAACAGTTGACCGTTCATTTTAAGAAGTCAAAATAGCAATTTAAATCATTTTGAGCAGTTGCTGACCCTTGACTGGCAGTTATTTTCCGCGCTGATATATGTTTACTAAATATATATCTATATTTATTGCTTTTTTTTAAACATCTTCGCTTCCAACAAGGCTACAAGCAACCACTAATTAGAGTTGGAAGTTACTGGAAGAGAAAAAATGAAGATTGTAGAGCAAGATAACAATTGACAGACGACTTTAAAGATTGCAAATTATATGAATCAGGAAAACAAGGTGAAGGAAGCAAATTCCAAAGAACTGATGTTCGAGGAAAAAAACTAGAGGAATAAGTGTTTTTGGAGCACTTAGAAACAGTAACAGGCAAAGGATGAGACTAATTGAATGACAAGTAACACGAGAATGAACTTTAGTAGATGGCACAGGAGATGCTAGCTCTTTAGAGCAGTGCCCATTATAGTATTTGTAGAAAAGAAAAAGAGAACCAACATTACGACGATGTGATAATGGTTGAAGGTTGGCTGCAAGAGCAGGTCCAATTATGTTTACAATACGTTTTTGCACCTTGTCTTAAAAAGAAAAAGCATCATTAGACGATCCGCCCAGATATGGTAACAGTATTCTATACAAGGCCGGATTTGAGATTTATAGAGAAGAGCTTTATATGTATAGTTTTTTTTCACTGTTATACATGCGTTAAACAAAATATTTTTTCTAGTAATAGTTTTATCTTTATTTTTTAAATAAATATGTATTTAAAATAGATTTAATAATTACACAAAACTTTGTAGTTATAATAAAGAATTAATTGTGAAGTTTGAAACTTTGAAAATTTGCGAACTCAAGTCTTAACAATGCGATTACTTCAGCTAAAAAAATTACAAGCTTTGGCTTAAAAAACCATAAATATATGAATTGAATTAATATTAGGCCTGTGCATAGTAAACATTCAAGGAGCATATCATTTTATGGTGCATTTGCAGACATCATGCTGATGTCTATGAACTTATCTTCTTTTGATATTAATTAAATTTCAAATTTAACAAATACTTAAATCATTTATCGTTGTAATGAATTTTGTTATAATTTATAAAAGTATGTTTTTGGCAATACATTATGGTTTTTTTTCAGTTTTAAAATAAATACAAAAAGCAAGAAATACACCTTTTAAAAGTTTTATGTTCTTATTTATTTAAATGTGATTTTTTTAGGATCTAACTGAGAATAAGACTCGTGAAAGAAGTAACCATTTAGTATCAAATCCATCAGAAAACAAAGGTGTTTATAGCCCAGCTGAAAACGTTGGTAATAACAATGATGGTAAAGAAAAACTTAATAATCTTATAAATAACACAAAAGAAAAAGATATGGTGATTGTTATATTTTTTGTATTATAAACATTTTTTTAAAAGTTATTATTTATTAGTTAATATAAGTTGCATCGCCTAAGATAAGCCTTTAATTTAATTTATTTTTTAAAATACAAGTTTGTATTTTAAAAAATAAATTAAAAATAAAAACAAGAATTCAAATAACAACTGTTTTTTGAGATATAATTTTTTTTTGATATAAAAATTTCCACTACATAGCCTATTTGCTTTGCAAGTTTTCTACATTGACTAAATTAAATATATTCATATAATTGAAATATGTTAACTATAATTTGTTGTAAGTCTATAAATTCTTTTTCTAACATAATACACATAATAAAAACATATAACACAGACTTGGACAGAAATGGTGTGTGATCAGACACTATTGCTGACCGTGCAAATGATTTTTTTTTTGACTAATTGAGCACAGCCGTTTAAATGTTTTGATTTAAACATTTCAAAAATGCACAGAAAAAAGAAACAGTAATGCTAAACTTAAACTAGGAAAAGAATTAAAAAAGAAGAGAAATTAAAGAAAAAGGAAAACAATTCCTTACAAAATAGAAAAGCACTAAAATAAAACTCAAAATACTCAAATTTTTTTTTACTCAAAATTGTTACGTTTTTAATTGCGTTCAATCTTATCTTTTGAAAAGTTTTATTAAAAGTTATGCAAGAAGTTTTTACATTAAGTAAAATTACTTCTAATGATTGTTTGAAATGAACAAATTATAAATGAACAAATTTTTAATTTGAAATAAACAAATTTTTGTTTAAATTATGAAAAAGTATATATATATAACATTTTTAAATTGTAAAATATTTATATTTTTTCCAAAATGCTGCAAAAAATTTTTTTTTTATTCTTTATTTAAAAGATTAAAAAAAAAGCATTCATTATATGAATCGACAAAATACATGCTTATATAAGTAATTAAAATTTTATATTATTTTATAAATTATTTCTTTCTATTTATATAAAAAAAAGCGTTTGTTTATATCCTTGTATAATTCATATAAAACTAGCAAAAAGCAACCCGTAATACGGGTTTTGGTCGGTCTGCTACATAATTAATTTATAGTGGCTGTTTTACAAAATTTAATGTTGCAAAACCTTAACTAATACCCTTTTAGAAAATCGCCTTCAGCTTGAAAAAATTAATCCATCTGTAAAATTAACATAAAAAGTATGAGGAGGTAAAATAATTTACCAACTACTACTAAACAATTACTACTTAACATTATTTAAGTAATTTACAAATGGCATAGGTCATAACAGTGAAAGGCAGAACCATTTTCATCGACCTTCCTAAGTTTAACACAATACGTTTTTAGTTACTGACACGAAATAATAACACTTGGTCATGCTTTAAATTGACGAAAGTGTCAACTAAATCCTTGTAATAATTTTTATAATACGAACCATTAAGATTAAAATGAAGTTAACTTATATTATACAGGAATTATCCCCTTGATTAATTATTCTTTAAAAAAGAAAATTGTTAACTTTAAAATGTTAAATGCACACATTTAAATAAATTTATAAAAAATAACAAAGTTTATTATAAATAACTACGCAACTGAGTACAAATACCTTTCAAACAAAAAAAAATTAAATTTACGATCAAACATGGGTATAACATTTTTTTTAATGCATAAATGCATCATATGACAAACCTAAAATAAAAATTATAAGAGATAAGTAGACATAAAAATTAAAAAAATATATTATTTTTTTGGCCTCTTTATTTCATTAATTTTAAGTAAACGGTAATTTGCCACCATTTACTAAAAATTCCTATTGTTACTCGAAATTTAATTTTCCTAAATATTTTGACTCTAATAAAGAGGTTCCTTCCCTCTTTTTGCTTTAATGGTGGCCAGGTGAATAAAATAATAAAATGTAAAACAATGATCTACATATATAAAAATGTTTTATTTCTTTCCTCAAAAGTGTTGCAAATACAGACTAAGCTAACTAATTAGTTAAACACATAAAAAAAACTTAAGTAACTCGATATTAAATGCGCAAAACTACAATAATCTCCATGTTTTTAAAGGTTTTTAGTTACGAACTCCCATTTACAAAGATCCCCTTAAAATACGTACAACAAATTATTAGGCATAAAATAGATAAAATATAAAATTAACTAATAGCATATATTTATATCTTTTTAACTAACAAAAATTTACAATAAAAAGAAATCAGGTTATTTTATTTTATAAATCTTATAAATGCGTCATAACGTAATTCTAAAATAAAAAAGTAATGAAATTATGATATCATAATTACAAAGAAAACAAAAAAACAAAAACCACCACACAATTACCAAAAATCGATTTACCCATTTATAGTAACCTATTTTGAAGTTGCAGTTAAAGATTTATCGAAAATGTAACTATAAAACCTGTTTCGAAGTTCCAAAGCAATACTAAAAGTACCTAAGCAATACTAAAAAAAAAAATCAAACTAAGATATAAATTGTTGTTTTGGCTTTTATAATTTAAACATATATATAACTATAAACAAATATGACTTTATGTAACACGTATAAACACATTTTACAACTATTGAATGATAGATATATTTACCAAAAACTATGAAAAAAAAATAAGTAATGATAAATAAAGATATACATACAAAATGTGCTCACAACCTTTAACAGTAAATTTTCGAAATGAAAATCTAAAGACTAAATTAAGAACTTTAAAAAATATAACAATATTTATGATACATTTTTTTACCTACTATACCTTGAATAAGATGTTTATCAATTTTGAAAAACAAACTATTAAATGCTATAGTTCTTGAAAATGCAGCATATAGTTAACCATGAGAGAAACACGGTTTTTGAGATATTTCTTTTGTCTATGTTTAATTTCGTGTTACGTAATATATAGACGATCCCTAAGAGAAAATACTTGAAACTAAAAAGATTTTATTTATTACAATATTTGAACAACCAAGGGACAATTTAAAGAATTATATCTTTAAATAGCAAATTATCAATTGCAGTATTAAAAAATACGCTAGAGCTTAGTAGTTACAGAGTTTAATCAATTCTCTCTCTACAATTCTCAATACTAATTCTTATTTAAGTCTCATCTAAGAGAGAGAGGGAGTGTTTTAAAAACACCATGTTAGAAAAAGTAAAAAAGTCATGCAATAAATAACAGTAACTAGTTTTATTATGCTACCAATAAAAAAAATTATTTTTACCTTGACTAAAAATTAATTTCCAGCATTTCTTGATTAAGTTCCAGCTTCTCTCTAACTGTTGACAAATGATTAATATTGTAAATTTCACATCATATTAAATTTACAAAATTAAAACCATGTTTCAACAGTAAGCAAAATAATCAAGTGATGACAAAGACAACTAAAAAAAAATGAACACAATTATGTTTAAGATAACAAAAAAAAAAAAAAAAAAAAAAAATCATTTAAAATTGAAGCTGTTATTATTTGTTACTATAAAAATAATAAAATAATAGTAAAATTCATACTTTGCTTTATTTTAAAGTGTCTAATGTAAAGTCAAATAATAGACATCAACACTGCTTGACACTGAATTCTGTCAAGTAAGTTTTCGATTCATCAAGCAAAATTTCTTATATTTCAACGACAATTAATTTTATTACGCCTAGATCTATTTCTTTCATATGACAACAATTTCAAGTCACCTATAACCATTTACACTAATAATTTCTTCGAGCCTAATATTATACATCTGTTATCATTAAATATATATTACCAGTGATTATACTACTGTTACAACTGAATAAATGAACGTTTTATATTTTTACAACTGAAAAATATAAAAAAAATTTATTGACATTATTTTAATTTAGCAAAGAATTTAGAACACAATGCAAAGTTATTTGCATTGTGTTCTAAATTCTTTGCTAAATTAAGAAAGCCTTCAGGCACAATCTTAATGCACAAAAATAATAAATGCAGAATCATATCATAATATAATATAATAAGCAATGTCAGTCTAAAGTAATTATATATGTATGTATATATATTCAAATTTTTTCTATTCTTAATTTTTTCTTTGAGATAATATTCATATAGATTCAGAGAAATATAAAATATTTTGATATATAGGCACATTTATGTATATAAACTAACCTGTCAAAAATTAGTCAGTTTTCCGTGTTAAATACATAAATATAAAAAGAAGTTGGCAATGCACAGTATCATTAAAATATAAAATTAAACAAAACATTAAACTTACTCAAATCAGTAACAGTTCGACTGTCTAAATATTTTTATTATTAACCCTTCTATTTAAAAAAAGAAACAAATGATTTGAAGTGACTAAAAAGCACTTTAGCTCTTTCCAATTGCACTAAAAAATAAAATAAATCTTGCTTTGCTAAGTTGCCTAGTTCTAGAATCTGAAAACAAATAAGTAAAAAACCAAGAACAAACAAACATTTATTTACAAAAACTACTCTATTTAAACAAATTAAATTAAACAGAGAACAACATTGATACTTCTTGAAAGCTGAAAAACTTTTTATCTCAAATTTGCATGTAGACCTTGCTTATAAAACCACTTGAATAAGAAAAGCATCACAAAAGCCTAGAAGCTACTTAAAAATGATATATGCAACAATGAACTTTAAATGTTGATTGGAGTAGATTTTTTTTAAAAATTCAAAATGATTTGTTCTTTTATAGCAAATAAATACACCATAAATCTGAAGTTAAAAATGTAACAAAGAAAAACATATGTGAATTGAAAATTAATGTACCTGATAGAGATAAGCTGTGGTGATACCTGAGTAGTAGTTGCTAAATATTATTTTTTTATGATAAACAAATTGTATTTATAGCGAAATGAATTTCAGTAAATAAATAAAAGCAGTGAGTTCTAATAATGAAACTACTTATTAATCATTTTTAACAGCTGACACCAACGTTAAGATAAACCAAAGGTAACAACATTACGCAAAAAATTACTAAAGATAAAGCAATCTGTTTTCAC